CACCCGCCAAGTTCGGGTTGGGCTTGATGCAGCTGGGCGCCGGCTTCCTGGTGCTGGTTGCGGGGGCACTGTCCGCTGGTGCAGATCATCTGACACCCGTTGTCTTCATCTTTCTGATTTACCTGTTGCACACAACCGGCGAGCTTTGCCTGTCTCCGGTTGGCCTGAGTGCGATGAACCGATTGGCGCCATCTCAACTGGCCAGCCTGATCATGGGCACCTGGTTCTTCGCCTCCGCAACGGGCAACTTCGCGGCGGGGTTAATTGCCGCGGCCGTAGGCGCAGAAGGTGCGGGGCCTGATCACGTGCTGGACGTCTACTCATCCGTTGGCTGGATTTCCGTTCTGGTCGGTGTAGGTGTGATTGCGGTGTCTCCGCTCATCAAAAAACTGATGCATCTCGACCGACTTGCGGACGACGATATTGATCACAGCCTTGCGGGACAAAAAGAGGTTGGTGAGCCGCAGGCGGCGGGTATCCATCCTGCGAGCAAGCCCTAGTCTGAGTTTTAGCTTGCAACCGTTGCGCCGGCTTCCCACAATCTAACGCTCAGTTCGATGTGGGATAGGGGATGAGCAATCGAGCGGCTGCCATAGCAGTCATAGTTGCCTTTGTGGTCGGCATTCTTGGCAGCCTTGCGGTGCGGCCAACCGGACAAAATCAACATCAAAACGTTGCTGCGCAAGGCGACGCAGACACGGTCCGAATCAACTGGCGCTTACCTGTTGCGTTCCAGACCACCATGCCGGTGCTGGGTGACAACCCCCTTTATCTCGCGGACATGCTGAAGCGTTCATCCAACGGGGCCGTGAATTTTCAGATTTTTGAACCTGGCGAAATTGTGCCCGCATTCTCCATCACAGATGCCGTGCGCGATCGCAAGGTGGAAGCCGGTTACACCTGGATGGGTTACGACCAGGGGAAAATACCCGCATCACCGCTGTTTGGCGCGGTGCCATTTGGCATGGAACCCTGGGAATACAGCGCCTGGTGGTTTGAAGCAGGTGGACGTGAACTGGCAGAAAATCTGTATGCTGATCACAACATTCATCCTATTTATTGCGGCATGACAGGACCGGAAACAGCCGGTTGGTTCCGCAACAAGATCACCAGCTTGAGTGATGTTGAAGGACTGAAAATTCGGTTTGCCGGGCTTGGCGGCAAAGTATTAGAACGACTCGGTGCCAGCGTCACCATGCTGCCAGGCGGCGAAATCTTCCAGGCGCTGGAAAAAGGAGCCATCGACGCCTCTGAATTTGCGCTGCCCATTGTGGATCAGAGCCTTGGCTTTAATCGCGTCGCAAAATTCAACTATTACCCCGGCTGGCATCAACCGTTCACCGCATCACATTTGATTATCAATCTCGACGCCTGGCGTGAGATCTCAGCACAGGATCAGGCATTAATCGAACTGGGCTGCACCGCAGGGGTAATACGCAACCTTTCGAATTCCGAAGCCAAACAAGGTGCGATTATTGCCGGCTTCCCGGACATTGGTGTGAGTGCAGAGGTTTTGCCTGAGGAGTTGCTGCGCGAACTGCAGATCGTCGCCGGTGAGATCATTGCCGAAGAGGCTGCTGCAGATTCGGACTTTGCTGAAATACTTGCCAGCCAGATGGCTTTCCGTAAGGACTACAGTCATTGGAAGTCACGCGCTTACCTGCCACGGGATTTCTAAATGGCAGCTTTCGACTACCTACCGCAAACGCAGATTTCCCGCGCGATAGATCCACTTATTTCCGGCCTGGGTCGCTGGGTGTCTCTGATCTGGGTCTTGCTGCTTGGCGTTATCGTACTGAATGTGCTGATGCGCTATGTCTTCAGTGAAGGTCGTATTGAACTGGAAGAACTCCAGTGGCACCTGTACAGCATAGGGTTTCTGTTGGGCCTGAGCTACGCCTATCAGGCAGACAGCCACATACGTGTCGATGTGATACATGAACAACTCGGTCCACAGGTCCAGGCCTGGATTGAGTTGTACGGCATCATCCTGTTCCTTCTACCCTTGATCGCGTTGATCCTGATTTTCAGCGTGCCTTTTGTCACCTCCTCATACGCGTTTAATGAGGTATCCCAATCACCTGGCGGATTATCCCTGCGCTGGTTGATCAAAGCATTTTTACCGCTGGGATTCGGATTTCTACTTCTGGCCGTCATCTCTCGTCTTTCACGGGTGTGGGCTTTCTTGTTTTTCAACAAGACCGCAGAGGATCAGCCTGATGGCCGCTAACGAAGTGCTTGCCATCGCCATGTTCCTGAGCTTCATAGCTCTGGTGTTCACCGGCTTCCCTGTTGCCTGGATACTCGGCGGGCTGGCGGTCCTGTTCAGCGCCCTGGCAGTAGTCCTGCAGGCAGATTTCAACCTGGCGATCGGCATGGACTGGGCTTACACCTCACTGACCGTTGAGCGTATCTGGGCAGTGATGGAAAACTGGGTGATGGTGGCGCTGCCTATGTTTATTTTTATGGGCCTGCTGCTGGACCGTTCCGGCATTGCCAATCAGTTGATGACCAGTTTTGCTCGACTGTTTGGCAGCATTCGCGGCGGGCTGGCGATTACCGTCACACTGATCGGCTTACTGCTCGCCGCCACTACCGGCATTATTGGTGCGTCCGTTGTGCTTCTTGCGCTGCTGGGATTGCCCGCCATGTTAGGCGCAGGCTATGACAAATCTCTGGCATCCGGCACCGTTTGTGCCGTTGGCACCCTTGGTATTCTGATTCCGCCCAGCATCATGCTGGTGCTGATGGCGGACCGTATGTCGATGAGTGTTGGCGATCTGTTTCTGGGCGCTGTTTTCCCGGGTTTGTTGCTGGCGGGGTTGTATATCGCTTATCTGCTGCTCGTTGGCTGGCTGCGACCAAACATGGCGCCCGCAGCAGAGGTACAACCCTTCGACCTTGAGGCCGTTTGGGATCTGATTAAAGCCATTATCCCACCGGCGTTTCTTATTCTTGCGGTCCTGGGCAGCATTTTCTTTGGCCTGGCAACACCCACAGAAGCCGCGGGCGTTGGGGCTGCTGGCGCATTGCTTCTGGCCTTTCTGAACAGACAATTGAACCGCTCTGTAATGGCGGATGTTCTGCAGGAAACTACCCGTACAACCGCCTTCATATTTGCCGTTTTACTAGGCGCCACGGCCTTTTCCCTGGTGTTGCGCGGGCTTGGCGGCGACGAGCTGATTGAGGGTGTACTACTGTCCCTGCCCTTTGAGCCCACCGGCATCATCATCTGCATCCTCCTGGCGACCTTTATCCTTGGATTCTTCCTCGACTGGATCGAGTTGACCCTGATTGTCTTACCTTTGGTATCACCCGTGGTACTCAGCCTGGGTTTCGATCCCATCTGGTTCACCGTGCTGTTTGCTGTCTGCCTGCAAACAAGTTTCCTCACACCCCCGGTCGGATTTGCGATTTTTTATCTGAAAGGTGTCGCGCCGGAAGGCATAGACGTTGTCACCATCTATAAAGGCGTTGTGCCCTTTATTGCCCTGCAGGTGCTTGGCATGCTGATCATATTCAACTGGGATGCTCTGGTTACCTGGCTACCGGGTCAGGCCTACGGGTAGAATAATCATTTTGACTGACGGGTATTGATGAACAACTATCTGGTTACCGCAAAAAACTACAGCGAAGACAGCGAAAATCGCATTCACAGCGATGAAATTGCGCAGAAGTTTGGCTTCCGCGGTGCGCTTGTTCCCGGTGTTGCGGTATACGGCTATATGACCCATCCGCTGGTCGAAAAATTTGGCGAAGACTGGCTGGCGCGGGCAAACATCCAGCTTAGATTATTAAAACCGACCTACGATGGCGAGCAGATGACCATCACCTGCAACAACCAGGATGGTCAGATAGAAGTGGTCAGCCATGATCCAGAAGGACAACTCACTGCCGTCCTGCTCAGTCAGTCCGTCAACAAAACCAGTGATGAAACGGTACCGATGCATGATCTGGCGCTGCTGGATGGCCCGCTTAAACATCCAGACCGCGTCGCTATCGGTTGGGACACCGTCAACGAAAGCGAAGTTTTTTCACCCTGGGAATTTCACCTGAGTACCGAGGAAAACGCCCGCTATACAAACGAGGTAGCTGACACCCTGGATATCTACCAGGCAGGTTACGTTCACCCGCACTTATTACTGTCTTTGGCCAATACAGCGCTTATGAATGAATACGTAATGCCAACCTGGATTCACGCCAGTTCGCATATTGTTCACCATCAGGCGCTGCGGCAAGAGGACACCATTACTATTCGCTCTGTCACCACAGAGAAGTGGCAGAAAAAAGGCCACGAATTCATAAAAATATGGGTGACTTACTGGCTTGATGGCGTTCTCACCACTGAAATTGACCACACCGCTATATTCAAAGTAGCCACATGATTCGACTGGCGGTACTCGCCTCACACGAGGGAACCACCTTACAAGCGGTCATTGATGCGGTAGCCGCCGGCGAAGTTGATGCGCAGATCGTTCTGGTATGCAGCAATAACAGCGGTTCCGGGGCACTGAAGCGTGCCAGAGCTGCAAATATTCCAACCTGTCATATCAGTAGCAAATCCCACGGCAGCCAGGCACAAGCTGACCAGGCGTTACTGGACGAACTGGACAGTCGAAAAGTTGATTGGCTTCTGCTGCTCGGATACATGAAAAAACTGGGTGAGCTGACCCTGGAAAAGTACAGCGGGCGTATCATCAACACCCACCCGGCTCGACTGCCGAAATTTGGTGGCAAGGGTTTCTACGGACGAGCGGTACATGAAGCGGTGATCGCTGCGAAAGAAAAAGAAAGCGGCGCAACCATCCACCTGGTTGAAAAAGACTACGACTCCGGACCAATACTGGCTCAGAGTCGCGTTATTGTAGAAAAGACAGATGACGCAGAGCGATTAGAAGCAAAGGTGAAACTGTCTGAACAAAATCTGTTGGTGGCCACTTTGCGCCAGCTGGCCGACGGCGACCTGCCGGCACAACAGTAGCTCACCCAACCAGGACGTTTCAGGGGAGAATGACGGCGTCGATCACATGGATCACGCCGTTGCTTGCCATGACGTCGGTCTGAATAACGTTCACTCCACCTACAGTCACGCCATCAGCGGTTGAAATCGGCAACACTTTGCCTGCGACAGTGGTGACCTCGGTTAATCCAACCACGTCCGCAGCGAGCGCTTTGCCGGAAACCACATGCAGCGTCAGAATGCCGGCCAGTTGCTCGGGATCTGCAAGCAATGCGTCCAGCGTACCCGCAGGTAAAGCTGCAAAAGCTTCGTTTGTTGGTGCAAACACGGTAAACGGCCCTTCACTGGACAGGGTTTCGACCAGACCGGCAGCTTGCACCGCGGCGACCAGAGTGCTGAACGTATCAACGCTCGCAGCAACGTCTACAATGGTGCCTGCTTTTGCTTCTTCATGATGAGCAGCCTGCACAGGGGCAACGGCCAGGGTTAACGCCAGCCCTAAAAAACCTAACACGTTTGAAATTTTCATCTAACTAGAACTCCAGAATAGTGAGTGATGCCTGAATGGCGCCCCTACAATGGTTCCCAGCTTGTGAAGTTGTTGTCGCTGCTTTGTGAATCTGCCGTCAATTGTCCGACGAACCTACGCTGCGTCTAAATCATGTTGTTTGCAGCACAGCCAGCACCTGTTTGTGCAGCACAGGGTTTGCAGTAGCTACCACAGCACCACCCATGCTGGCATTACCACCATCATAGGTGGTGACTACACCTCCGGCGCCAGCAACAATAGGTATCAATGCTAGGATGTCATAAGCATTCAGAGAAGCGTCAGTACCGATGTGTACGTTGCCCATCGCAACCGCACCATAGAGGTAACAGTCGCCACCGAGGCGGTAAAGCTGGACAGACGATTTCAGGCGCTCAAAGCGGGTTAGATCTTCCGCGGTGAACCAGTCGTATCCGGTAGTGGCAAGCACCGCAGAAGACAGATCCTCGCAGGTTGAGGTACGTAGTACGCGTTTGTCCGGCCCACGTACCAGATGAGTTGTCTCTCCATCACCAAGGAAAAGTTCATCGGTATAAGGCTGGTACATGGCACCAACAATGGGCGTCTCGCCATCAAACAATGCCAACAGTACACCCCAATGCAGCATGCCTGCCATGAAGGCGCGTGTGCCATCAATGGGATCAATGACCCAGGTCAGTCCATTACCTGGTTTGTGGCCGTATTCCTCACCGTAAATGCCGTGACTCGGGAAGGAGCGTTCTATCGCCTCGCGGATCGTCCGTTCCGCGGTTCGGTCCGCCTCAGTGACAGGATCAAAATGCCCGTCTGTACGCTTGTTTTCAACATCTGTGTTAACACGAAAAAATGGCAACGTCTGCGCACCGGCCAGACGAGCAGTTTTGCCTGCAAATTCAAGAAACTGGATTTTCTGGGTCTGGTTTACACTGACTTTGCTGCTATACCCAAACGAGTTTTCCGGCTTGTTCAAAATAGGTTCCCAAGTAGGCTGAGCGCGACAATGTACGCGATGTCAGATCGGTCAACCAGTGCTCCCTCAACCAACCTCGACTGGGACCAGGAATGCTGGTTCCTGAACCTGGTTCGTAAGTACTAAGCTGTTGGGGGTACCCCAATCAGAGCAAGGTATACGCATATAGCGCTACCCCGCCGCTGAAATCCACGCTCCATGAAAGCCTGCAGGGACTCTTCGCCCGAGGTCCACTGTCGCCAGCGGTGCTTTGGAAATATCCGCAGCATCGAGGATGCGGATTTCAGTGGTATTCGAGCTTTGCCGAAACACACACACTAGAATATAGCCGTCGTTCTCTTTTGCACTTCTGACACCAGGTTTGGGTACAAATATCGGCTCGCTGTTTTGATCACCGGGAGATACCTGATGAATCTGCTGGGTACCGGAGGCCAGGTCGTAACTAACAATGCCACGCATCTCTTGATCTGAAGGTTGCACAACCGCGTAAAGGTATCGATTGGGATGACCAACAAAAAACTCATTAATCCGCGGCAATTCAATATGCAGGTCGTCTAGCTGCCGCTCGGTTACGCTACCTCGAACGAGATCAATCGTATAGCGCCACAAAACACCCAGCGGATTTGATAAAAAACCTCGGTTCTGTGTGTCACGTTTGAAATAGCAGGGATAACGCACAACATCCATTTCGAGGATGTCCGGTGACTTTTCGTATGCATTGACAACGTGCTGGATAAAACAGGGTTCGATGTCGAACCAGTTCATGGTGGATCCGTCACGAGCAAGAACGCATAACCGTGAAGCTCGCTTGTCATCCCAACAGATAGGTATTCGGTAACCCTCATCGAACATCGAAAAGTCGTAACCCACGTTAAGGTCCATGAGAATACTGTGACGAGCAGTAATCGCCATATCATGCATCATCGAGGGTGCAGCCAGATCCACTTCAAGAGCAACAGTTTGCTTACCCTCTCGATTCAACACACCGTAGGTTAGAAAAGGTGCTGCCCAATCGGCTCGAAAACACATCAGTTCACCCGTTTTGGCATCAATTTTTGGGTGGGCGGTTACTCCTGCATTCAAGGCTGGATGAATATCACTTTGGCCTAACGTCTCCAGCAACGTATTTATACGTACCGGCGGACCACCTTCCGCTAACGCCAATATCTCGCCAGCATGCTCAATCACGTTCACATTGGGATTAGAGTTCACCCGCGAGGTGACATCTTCACCCTTATAGGCAGCATAATTCTGGGTTTGCACCCAGCGGTTTCGATAACGGGTAACCTTACCGCCGGCAAAGCTGATGCCGTGCAACATGGCTGCCTCGGGCCACCAGTCGAGCACATCTGCGCCTGCGAACTTCCCTGCGAAAGGATTGGGTCCGTTACGAATTAAGGTGCCGTTAAGATCTGCAGGTACCCGGCCAGTAATTTCGAAGGCGACAGACTCGTGTTCGTCGGCCACGGGCGCCAGTGCGCCCGCGTTCAAATCAGGTAGCGCCATTATCGCCGCCTGAGTTCTTCAAGGCGCATCTGAAATGCTTCGACCTCGGCGGCATCAAGATCGTTCAGCGGTGACGACAAAAACGTATCATGAAATACGCCTTCAGCATCTTTGAGCAGCTCTCTCCCGCCATTGGTCAGCTGAGCTAAACTCTGCCGAGCATCACGCTCATTGCTGACAGTCTTCACATAGCCAAGCTTTTCCATCGGCTTGAGTGCCCTGGTTACAGCTGAAGGTGTAAGTCCCACAGCATGAGCCAGATCAACCCGTGATGATCCGGCAGCATTACCAAGTGATAACGTTCGCAGCAGGCGAAATTCGCTAAAGCTGATACCACGCGTGTAAGACAGAGCACTGTCCAGACGTCGTTCAATTACACCGGCCGTATCAAGGAATTGTAAGACAAGGTTTTCTGTGATTTTTTGTTGCTTATTTTTCATGCGTGCATATTACGTGACTACTCACGTATTTAGCAAGTTATTTTGCGCCGAACAAAACGGCTGGGCGCTGACCACACTCGTTGTGTTACTAACAACACCAATCACCCGCACCTTATACCGGCCAAAAACTCGGCTCATAGCTCTCGACTCGAGTTTGTATGTTGGTTTGTTATCCATCGCATTCACTTTTGTCCCTACGCAATGAACGCTCCGGAGAATCGCCATCAGCAGAGCGACCAACATTCTCACTTTTGATATTGTCTTCGCAACGCTTGCTAGACTTTGCTGTTAAATATGGGGTTCTCTGCCATCGCCTGGATCGGCGCAGGTCTGATTTTCGTAAACATTTTGAGCCTGCAGTTAAAACTAACGTGCTAGTCGTTTGCACTTAATTACTAAGGCGAGGCATACTTCGCACAACCACATAGGTCGATTGTTCCGGCTTCCAAACATTCGACCACGATGTGGCATTCTAAACTGCAAAAAAGAAGGGTTTTACATGGCTGGCAAGTTCGAAATCTACAAGGATAAGAAAGGTGAATTTCGCTATCGTCTGAAAGCAGGTAACGGCGAAATCATCCTCACTGGCGAAGGATACAAAACTAAGGCTGGCGTTAAGAACGGTATTGCAAGCATACAAAAGAATGCTGCTGTCGCTGATCGTTTCGATACGCAAACATCCAAAAACGGCAAACACCGCTTTCTATTGAAAGCCGGCAACAGCCAGATTATTGGCCAATCGCAACTTTACGAAACACCCGCCGCCTGTAAGAACGGTGCAAAAAGCGTTGCCAAAAACGCACCAACCGCAAAAATCGAAGATACAACAGGCTAACGCTTACAGCTCTTCGGTTGTTCGATAGAGGGTGCATCTGCACCCTTTTTTTGTGCGCGCGAAAATCTCGTAGGCGTATCCGCACGCCATTCCGCAGACATCAAGACATTCCTATTGAGTCGCATAAGCCATTTACCGGAAAGTTAATGCGCCGTAAGCTCTACCCAAATTAAGGAAGGAAACATTATGTCAGGCAACGTCATCCCAAGTTCCATGCAGCGATCGTACGACAACTTCCATTTCGCCCCAGCCAGAAATCATAATGGTGTGCTCTATTTTTCTGGACAGATTGGGTCAGGCGACACAGCAGAAGAAGAGTTCCGCAACGCATGGGAACTGGTAGGCACCATATTGAGTGAAGCAGGTTTAGGCTATGAACACATTGTTGAATTCACAAGCTACCACGTTGGACTGCAGTCTCACATCGGCGAATTCATGAAAGTGAAAGACGAATTTGTTAAAGAACCCTATCCTGCATGGACCGCAATCGGGATCACCGAACTCGCCGTGCCAGGTGCACGAGTTGAGATTCGGGTTGTTGCTGCGGAGTGAGCGGGGTCTTTAAGTCTGTGTTGCGACCCGCCCACCTTAGCAACGGAGTTGCCTTCGATCGTATTTGCAAAAATGCGTGTTGCGCCCGCAGCTGCGAGAGTAAACTCTCAACTTCTGAAGATATTGTTAACGGATGAAACGCCGTTTTATCGATCTTGTCAGCAACATTAGAGATGCTGGTTAAGCCTGAGCGGTGCAAGTATTCTTCCCCATTAAAAACCCATTCGTTTGCTGAAGACGGACCGAGAATATCACCACGTAAGGAGATAGAAGGGATGTGGCCACAAACAGTTCCATGAATAGAGAATTCATGTTCTTCATATTGAGGCAGGTCTTCGTAGGCACCCCAGAGCACATAGGCTCGCTCTTCACAAAATCTCTCTTCAAGATGCTGAGTTAACTCCTTCATAATGCATCGAATCAAACGGGAAGAGGTTTCCAACACATGAAAAGGTCCAACGCATCTGATAGCACCACTAGATGATATGTGCGGGTCAAAGTAAACGATTGCGCCAGATTTGTGCACACATCTAAATGAACTTTCGCTGATACTCCAATCCATAAGCTTTCGAAATAATTGGCTTGTCTTAAACGAGCAGATTATGGGGTTGAGTATTCAACTAGTGTGAACCAGCTCCCACTTTGCACAAAACACTTTGGTATCCACTTAACCGCCGATCGTTTCCTGAAGATAGTCGCA